CGGGGGTACCCCTCCAGGGGCGGGGCGGGTAGGCCTTTATTTGGGGAGGTGTTTGTATTGAGCGACCAACTGAGATGGGCGATCTGGTAGCTGATCTGCCCCGTGCCTTTCACCTGGCTCCTGGGGTGATGTGCAGGGGGAGAACCCAGCCACCTCTCCCTGGCTTTCCACACTTGGCTCTTCAGGGCTGCACAAGCCGGCCGTGCCAGGGGAGGGTGTGAAATTGGCACAGAAGCAATTCTGGAGCAGCGGGGCGGGCGGGGAGTGGGGGGGTGGGAGTCTCTTGCCAGTGTTTCCTTGGTGTGGCCAGAAACCCAGCCGCCCTCCCCTGGTCCGACTAGACCCCGTGCAGCCCCCGATAGCCCCTGCCTCGGCTGTGGAGTGGAACTAGAGCCAAACCCCGAGAGGCGGGGGGCTCTGCCAGTCCCCCCAGTCTCACACCTTTCTCTCCCCACAGGAATCAGGGAGGCTATGGGGACCGCTACTCCGGAGGCTCCTACAGAGACAACTATGACAACTAGGGTGAGTCTGTCCCAAAGGCGCCGGCCTGGCTGAGCTGTGAGGTCTGTCTGTCCGTCCCACCCACCGTCTAGACTAATGCATGTGGGGACTTTTAGTCCATCCAACTTCTCTCTTAAAGGGGCACAGTTGGGCCATCTTAGAAAATCCCGAGCTGCCATTTAACCTGACAGGGGAAAACGCCCGCCAGACTGTAAGTTTGTGGGGGATTTAACTCAGCGCCTTCCCGTCTGACCTGCTCCGAGCCAGCAGGGCTGCAGATGTTGCCCAAAGGAGGAAGTGAGCGGTGGCTGGAAGCCGACCACCTCTCAAGCGTCATTAATTGCCAGGGTCCTCTTAAGAACTGCACCCTCCTGGCTGTCCGCCCCGGGGAGGGAGGCAGGGGTGTAAAACGCTGCCCGCGTGTCTGCCCCAGTGCCTTTACCATTGTGCCTGCTTCTCCTCCTCAGCCCAGCACCGAGCAACAGCCCTTCCCGACCTGAGACCGTCCTTCCAATGGCCGTATTTATACAGATTTTTGGAGCTTCGCCGAATCTCATTGTTTAGTTACATCCGCCTGTACCTTCCCTTTTGTAGCCTGGTCCCATGCAGCCCCGAGAGGAGCGGCCCGTTCCAGGGGGCCCCCTTCCCCCCACCAAGCAAAGATCAGGCTCATTTCAAGAGTTCTGAAAAGAGTTTGGGGGAAGCTCGTCTTCTGTTTGTTTCAATTCGGCTTCTTTTAATTGGCCAGACTGGGAGGCAGGGCCTGACTCCGACCCACCCTTCCCAGGAGCAGCGCAAGCTGTGTGGGGGGGGGTTTCACTTTTTTTAAGATGCCCTTGTAGTTTTGTAAACTTTTTTTTCGCGTGTAGCAAGGGGAGAGGCAAATCTCCCCTGTAGAACGAAGGGAGACTCGATGCAGAAGGTATTTTCCCTGTCAGATGTAACCAAGCCAGAGCTTAGATTTGCAAAAAACTGCGCCAGAGGTTCTCAAAAATGTTTGTTTATATCGCCCCCCCCTCTTTTTTTTTACTGGAAGAAGCGCTCATAATTCTCTTGATACTGTGTGTTGAAGTGGTGAAGGAGTTCCTGTATTCAATTCTTCGGCTTTATGGAGCCTATTAAAGACAGTGCGAAACAAGCTCTCTGCTCTTGGTGCTTTGCCCACGCAGCCCCTGGCCAAGACGGCTGGAGTCAGGCAGGTGCATGGCTGATAGAGAAGAGGGGCTAGAGGCAGGCCGAGGGGTCGGGGCACCTGGAATGGGGTCGCAGGATGACTGAGCCACGGTGAAAAGGCATCCGTGAGCATGGCCGGCTCGCCCTGCAGCATGGCCCAGTGATTTGCACCTTCCCTGGCTTCTGGTAGCTTGCTTAGGGCAGTGGTTCAGTGTGGTCTGTGGGCCATGGGCTCTGGTCTTCCTCCTTCCCTCCCCCTGTCCTGTGAGGCTGGAGCACCAGCGCAGGCTTCCTGTGGTGGGGGGAGGAGGAGAGTCTTGCGGGGGAAGGAAGCTGTTCCACATGCTGCTGTTCCTCCCCCTACCTGGGGGAACGGCAGCACCTGCAGGCTTTTCCTGCTGCTCCCATTGGCCATAATCGTAGCCAGTGGGAGCAGCAGGAGTCTGAGCCAGGTATAAGCCCCCCTTCCCACTCCTTCAAGCCAGATCCTGCACCCCATCTCCCTTGGCCCTCCCACCGAGACCATGTGCCTGGCACCCACCCTGTTCCTGCATCCTCCCTCCCGGCCTGCACCCGTTTCCTCATTGGGGGGGTTGGCTGGTGGCCCGGGAGAAGTCTAGGTTGAACGGGGGGGGGGGGGGGCGGCGGGGGGGCGGGGGAGGGGGTGGGGGGGTGTGGCGGCTGCGGGCTGGAACGTTTGAGAACCAGAGGTCCACATTGCGTCCCTGACGGTCTTCCGGAGAGTCCTAGGCCCTCATCTCTGCTCCTGGCAGGGAGCTCCTTGCTACGAATCCGCATCGGTCTGCCCACGCCAGGAGCAGGCTGCCCGGGATCTGGGGCCAGCCTGAATCCCCTGCTTGCATGGGACATGCCAGCCCCTTTGGGGCAGACCAGAGGCAACCTGCATGGGATTCGCGCTGCGTCCCTGACGGTCTTCCGGAGAGTCCTAGGCCCTCATCTCTGCTCCTGGCAGGGAGCTCCTTGCTACGAATCCGCATCGGTCTGCCCACGCCAGGAGCAGGCTGCCCGGGATCTGGGGCCAGCCTGAATCCCCTGCTTGCATGGGACATGCCAGCCCCTTTGGGGCAGACCAGAGGCAACCTGCATGGGATTCGCGCTGTTTACTGTGCCCAGGGCGTGTTCTACAGCTGCCACAATGGCCCTTTAGGGGGCAGGCCTGACCTCCAGGGCCCTAGTCCAGAATCCAAACAGCTAGACTGGGGTGTCCACCAAGGACCAGCCCTGCCTAAAGCCTGTGGGAAACTCCCAGAGCTTGCTGGTCTCCTTCCAAGACAGCGGTCCACTCAGTGACTACTTGGAGCTCAGGGAGGGGAGGAGCACAGAGCTGGGGGGGAGTTTTTGGGCAGGGGGCTGCCAGGAGAGCACAGTGGCAAGGAAACTCCTGGAGGGCTGGACAAGGCTGCCCCGAAGGAAATCTGACTGCAGCATGAATTTCTCCTGCAGAGCCCTGGCTAGCGGCTCAGCCAAGAGGTAACGTTGGCGCATGGCATCAGCCAAGTTGCGTCAAGCCAGGGGCCCGTCTAGCCCACTATCCAGGCTGACAGCAGCCAGGGCTGGATGTTGCTGAGGGAGGAGCAGAACTGGCAACGCATCGAGATGTGTCCCATCCTGACTGTCTTGGCTATTAGCCATGGGGGGCTGCTCTCCAGGAACAGGTCTCGCTTTCTGAAACCCAGTTCCACTGTGGGCCCTCAAAGGGTCCCCCAGCAAGGAGTTCCACGGGGCTTGTGCAGTGGGTGAAGATCAAGGCTCCCTCTAAAGCTTTTCCAGCCATGTGCAGAATAATTTTCTGTGCACCAAGGCATGTGGAATGTGCACCACCAGTAGAAAGAATAATAATAATAATAATAATAATAAAACTAGCAGTGGGTGCTCTGCTAATCAGCTTGGTGGCATCTGAATCTCTCCTGGGTGACTGCCTAAGTGCATATCCTGCAGGTAATGTCTAACAACTTCATCTTTGGTCAATGAATAACAGCAAGCAGAAGCCACTTCAACCTTGGTTACGTTTTAGAGGAAAATACCCATCCTTTCCTCCTGGGGGAAGCTGGTTTGGACCCCGAGTCCCTGGGTGGCACTTCTGCACTTTGGCTTCCTGGCTGATTCTGCAGGGGCCAGTGGGCCCTTCCCTCGGGGCTGGGGTTTATTCTGCGCGGCTGCCAGAGCCGCTGCCAATGCAGGGGGGAGCCAGGACTCCTGGGTTCTCCCTGCTCTGGAAGGGAGGTGGGGTGGAAAGTGGAACTCTCCAGTCCTGGGAGTAGTCTGGAGCAGGGCTGCTGAATCTTTTGGGTCTGGGGCTACCGCCCCACAGAAAAGGGCCACGTTCAAGTGGGGAGAGAAACCCCATGACCTCACTGAGCTGGCCCACCTGAAAAGGAACCAACAAACAGCTCAGGGGAGCTGGTGCTCCAGCCCCCCAGGGGGAGGGGGATGCCGAGGTTCAATGCTTAACCAGTTGTGGGGGCCCTCTACACTCCAGCATGGAGCCCAGACTCAGCTACCGCCCCACAGAAAAGGGCCACGTTCAAGTGGGGAGAGAAACCCCATGACCTCA